TTGGAAGATTAACACTTTGGTCATTAGTATTACTTAGTAGTAGAAATCAATTTATCAGAACTGAGTGAAGTGTCTCTGAGGGATGGAGGGGGCAGAGAGTGATCTGGAACATGGGATCTTGCCCAGATATATGTGCACTAGGATATCCTAAGTACCTTTGAAGGCTCTGGGCTCTAGGAGTGGGTGCCATGTGGCAACAGAAAACTGAAAAGTGAGGTGAAATGATACCAAAGATAACCTCGAAATACTTTGCCATCTTGTTTGGAAATACTCTAGGTTATGTCTGACATTCATACTGAGCATACCCTTCCTTATACTTTCTGTTGGTTTGCTATATTTGATTATACTAAATAATATCAGTGGGAAAAAAATCCCCAAAGGGAAAATTATCTATTTTAAATTTATCAAATGTTTTTAAATCCATCCCTACTCTTCCTACTTTTTCTAATCTCCATTTTCTCTTTTACTATCCTCTGGAGTCCAGACATTTTAGAAAAGCTGACGGTTTCTTATGTGCTTTGTAAAAATTCCTTGAGATGCTTTAATTTCAGTTTATTTCTGTTCTGAAACTAATTTGTTTTACTACTGAACAGTTTTTGTTGTCCAGTTCTAGATTGTGGACTCTTTTGAGGTAAAATTCTTTGCTTTGAACATGCTATAAGATTATCAGATGGAAAATAGTAAAAACAGTCAATAAAAGTCAGATAATACTTTAGGCACTTTACATATACCCACAAATATTTTTCATGAAAAAATTATTGACATCAATAAAATAATTCTGAAAGTCTTACGCATGGTAGCTTTAAGATTTATAAGCTAATACTAAGTGGCCTACATTACCACTTGCTGTGCAATTTCAACGGAACTCTTTGTAGTTTTATCTTATTTTGTTTTAATAAGAATTAATTAAAATTATTGAGAATGGGTATATAGAGGAGGCAAGAAAAATATGTGATGGAAGGAAGAATAATTTAGTAAATTTATTTTGACATACAAAAGGCTAAATATTAAAATGCAATTATATTCAGCTTTATTGACCTCTTATCTAAGTTATTAATATAATACCCCAAAATGAGGAGCAGCCCAGTGGCTCGGGGGTTAAGTTCACACATCCTGCTTCAGTGGCCTGGGGTTCACTGGTTTGGATCCTGGGTGCAGACCTATGCACCTCGTGTCAAGCCACACTGTAGCAGGCGTCCCACATAAAACAGAAGAAGATGAGCACAGATGTTAGCTCAGGGACAGTCTACTAGAAAACATAATTATGGTTGAAATAAAATGTTTGTCAGAATAATGATTTAATTTAATTGAACACGGTTTTCATTTTTCATAATTTTTAATAATATGCAGGAGTAATATTAGCTTATTTGATTAGTAAACCTGTATAAGTTTAGGAAAAACAAACCCAAGTGGAATAAAATGTACACTTGTGTTATGCTTAACACTGATAAAGAAAAGATATAGCTGTTTTTATTAAGCCATAATTATTAAGCTAGTCTTGTTTATCAAAGATTTACTCTTATTAATGTGAACTTGGATTTTTATCTTTTTTATTTTTTTGAGGAAGACTAGCCCTGAGCTAATATCTGTTGCCAATCCTCCTCTTTTTGCTGAGGAAGACTGGCTTGGATTTTTAACATGTTTCTTAGTTTCAGCAAGAAGAATTTTAAGTTTAGCACATTTAAAGCATTAGAAATTCAATTTCCTATTCTGAGAATTTTAGGAATATTGAATTTATATAAGAGTTTATTTGTCTCTATAAGTCAGTCAGAACAGAGCTCCTTGATTTAAGATACCTTGTACTAAAATTTTTTAAATATCCCCTGGAGATAGAAAGGCATTTCACACTCAGAATGAGAGGTAAAGGCCTTTCTAAGTTTCAGAGACATAGACACAGAGAGAGCTTACAGCTTCAAATCTGTAACTTAGCACAGAGGGAAACACAGAAACATAAAATCTCATTGGTCCAAATATCAATGAGGTATTCTCCATCCCAGTGGCTCTGAAATTTTTAATGGATTTGAGCTAAAAAATAGACAAATTTTTTATAAAACTCTAACAAACCAGATTCTCTGTCTCTTTCACCTAATAGAGAATAGATCTCTATCATCCATTGACAGAGATCATCAGATTGTTAAACTATAAAACCAAACTCCTTATAGTTGCTCTTACTAATTGGAAATAACTTATCAGAAAGTGAACCAACAACAGCAAAAATCCCATAAAACTAGTAGGTAGGGAAAAAAGCTAAAGAAATGGAGAGCTAGCAAATTTTAAGTTCTGTTGCTACTTGGGATTCACCTCTGGGAGCCAGGAAAAGACATGCCTGGGCTTAAGCTGACCAGGAGGTGCACTTCTCTGACAACTCCATTTATCTAGCTCTATCAGATGAAGCCATCTCAGTTGATGACCTTCAAAACTGGTAAAAAATACATTTTTATCAAAAGGAAAATCATGGTTTTCTTACAAATATAAAATGAACATGTGTCAAAGATATATTTAACTCATTTATTAATAAGGGAACCAATAAGATATTACAACTGAATCAAAGGAGAATTCAAACAACACACACATATTTGGGTGATCAGACATGTTGAAATGAATTTACAAATAGATACTGGTCAATATCCACAGGGCAATCTGTTGTATTATACTGGACAGAATTTGTTTACATGAGAATAAGTTTTATACAATTTACAGAGTTGTAAAATAGCTCAAAGACAATGAAAAGCACAGGCCCCTTTAGAATCAGATAACCCAGAAAGGTACATTAGACAGGACACCTAATAATCATTCTGTTACTGAAACCAAAGCGGGTTCCCTCCTGGAGAGTTAAATCAGACTCTACACCAGAAGTAGTTGTCTCACAAAGTAAAGTATATTTGCAGCAAATAAGAGACCATGAAGAATCATTTCCAAAGTCATGGCGTCCTGAACAAAGGGAAGCAGGGACATTTATTTTGGATGGGGAATGGATATTCAAAAGGGAGAGGAGGGTATTCACTTGCACAGACTGAGTTGGAAAACATGCTTCCACATACACTGCAGGTTACGGTAATAAGGCCCAAGCTCCTCCTGGAGAGATCTCAGCATTGAAAATAAGGCCAAGGGCATAGGCGTAGCTCTCGTGGTGAGGCTTGGTCTGGTTCAGGGAGGTTGGTGATTGCATTTCCTTAAGATAACAAAAGGAAAAAGAACAATTTGGAAAAACAGTTAAAATATCCAAACCCACCTTTGAGTTCCTTTGGGTAACTAGTTGGTGACAGTTCTTGTCTATTTCAAAGTCTTTCACTAGAAACAATCCAGATGACAACCCTTTCCAGTCCTTGTCCTCATGGCCAACTTAGACACAAGGTCAGGCAGCCCCTAATCTTTCAAACTTCCAGTGAGAACTTTCTGGGTTCTTGGAGCAAGGGTAGGGGAAAAGGGTTTGTCTTTACCTGTCTTTGCATCACTAGCTGGATGAGGCTTTTCCTTGCTGCTTGACTTTCCTCCATGTATCTTGTGATCACCTAGGAGCCGTGGAGGGTGGCTTTGTGATAGGAGGAGGTTTAACTTGGCAAAGGGACATCTGTTGGAATAGTTACCCAGAGTGACTTAGTAAGCTCTGGTTCCCTGAGCCTGATCACCAGGATTCTCCCAGAGGGACATTCCCAAGAAGTATGCAGCCACACAGTGACAAGTTCAGACCAAGGAAGGTCCCTGATGCCTTGTCTGAGGCCAACCTCTGTCCCCTATTCACAAGAGTAGCAGTCCCACTGTTGAATAGGTGGAAATCATCTCTTGTCAGGTGATAAAGACTGATTTTTGTTTAAGAGAGGGAATTTAGGGGTACAAACATGTAATGTATGAAAGGCTAGTTATATGAAAGTGAAATAATTGAGGTTAAGGATTACTTACAATTGGAAAATGTAAGAAAACCAACATTTATTGTGCTTCTGCATTTGGCATGTTGCCTCTTTTAATTGTATTTGTGTCTTCAGCAGTTTTGCTGGACCTCATTGTGTGTTTTACTAAATTCAGTTTCCAAAAGGAATTGTCTGGATTTTATGAGTTGTTTTATTAACCACAGAAAATTTTTAGGTTTTCTTAAGGTCAATTAAGGTTGGTTCTTGATACTCTTTTTAGATAAGACTTCTGTCTTTTCATCTCTAAATTTAGTAGAAGGTTGTAGTTGAAAGGAAAAAAGTTCAAAATAGTACTGTGATATTAATCAGAACGAAGAACTCTTTACTTTGACTTTTGGCACTGTATCATATGCTTTATTAAACATCTGGATTTAGATAGATCTTTAGAACACTTTTACAGAAAGGAAATAGCCTCGAAGCTTATAATAGAAGAACAGTTGCAAATACACAAAACAACCACTCTATTTAGCTGTGCATTTTATCACTTTTCATTTTAGTAACCTTACTTCTGATAAAGAATTTTCATCAGTATTCTCAGCAGAAACAACTGATATATCTTTCTTGACCCTCACCGTGCTTAGAATAAAACTTAAAAAGGGATAAACCTTCTTGAAATCTCACATTTTTCCAGATCACACACTATATCAAACATGGCAGGATATGGTTTTGAAACTGTGGGAACATATCTCTTCTCTTAAGTCTACTTGTTTTTTACCTGAGTTTGTCTTACTGATTTGTGTCACTTGTCCAAGAGTAGAAACTACTCTTCAGAACTAACTCAGTTTAGCTCATTGCTGTTTTAGGAAGCAGAATGCCAACGAAAGACAACGCATACCCTACTTTAAACCTTCTTTATTGCATAATGAAGTCATATCAGATTATGCATTTGCTTCTGAATTTTGATTATCCTCTTAGTGTCTTTTTCAGCCTTTGGAAAGCAGCTGAAAAATATCCCAAATTCTCATCAGTAAGGTTTCATTTTCAACATAGGAATGCTGTGCAAAGTGACAACTGTGACTTTTGCTCAGCTCTAATACTTAAATTCCTTTGTCAGGAAGTGAACTGATGCTGACTTCTCTCTCTTATTTCAAGTTGGGGCATGAGATTTTTCACTGCATTAGAAGGTTGTTCAGACCTGAAGCCTGGGAAGGTAAGATGCCAGTATGAATACTGTCCATTTAGAACTTGGTTTGAGTGTCTAGTGATTTAAGAGCATAAGTATTTCCGGCTGTTCCTGGTTTATAGTCTTGATGAACCCTTCAAGTTTTACCAAAACGTGAGTAGGGAAAAATGTCCATAATTGGAAGGCTCATTAATATAATTTATTATTTATAAATTTTAACTATAGTTTTATATTTAGTCAAATTATTACTTAAAGGAAAAAGTGACATACACCAATTTTTATGTATAAATCTTTGTATATACAAATATATATATTTTTTATACCAAGATCATAATATGATAGACTGTGAAAAATATATATGTGCTTCTTGATTGTGGTCTTTTTCTCTCTGATCATTTTTTTTAAATAACATACTTTATTTTTTAAGAGCAGTTTTAGATTTCCCCTCTGATCATTTTTTTGAGGCAGACAAGATAGGGAGAGCAAAGACTTGAGACACTTATTTTGTTCATATGGAGAAAGAAGACAACATTAAGAAAATTTTTTAAATCACAGAGTTTTACCTACTTACTCTGGTGAACCAAGCAGTGTTCTTTGAGTCTCTCCCAGAAAGTCTTCCTTGGAGAGGACTGGCCAATGCATGCATTCAGTAATGAAGGTTCTGTTTTACACCACTGTTGCTTACTCTTATCATTTGTTTACATGCTTCCTTCATTCACTGTGCTTTAGCTTCTATCAGTAAATAAAATGTTTCAAATTTTCTCAGATTTGCTTAAGCTAAAAAATTGTAATCCTTCACAACAAAACCATAAAAATACCCTACATAATAACAAATACGAATTATTGTCTATGTAGAGTATTTTATCTATTTAGATATAATCTATAGTCCACTTTAGCATATGAATTATCTGGTTAACATAGTCAATCTTGAAAGACTCTAACAGATTTTGGTTTTTCACTGGACTTCGATTATACTTACACATTTGAAGTATAATAATTATTGGTTTTTAATGGTGCTAATATCATATAAATATGACATTAAACAACAAAATTTTTTCAAGATTGAATATTAGTTGAGTATCTCTAGATACTGTTAAGAATGTAATGCTTTGTGGAGTTACATTTATGTCACTAGCTAATTAAAGAGGGAAAGGTCATGAGTCAGTCTTCCCTGAGTTCTTGGCCTATAAAAATCTAGTAGAAGTTTTGTAGGATGTTGGCACGTTTGTGTTTTGTTATATGGCCCTGGACTACTAAAGGGATCCAAGCACACGTTGTTACTTCATGTTTCTTGAACACTCTAATAGTTTTATTTTATTTTTGTTTTTACCATTTTTCCTGAGTTTCAGATTGAACTTTGATTACTAGAGAGTATTGGTCAAGTAAAGTCATTTTTGGCATAGGCCAATATTATACTTCTTTCCAGGATAGATTAGCCCAAGTGAAGTGTCATTGACATTGAGTCTCCATTTGGTTGGTGAACTCTTTGTAATACAAAGGTTTCTTGTTTCTGAGAAATATTTAATAATAATAATAACATTTATTGATCACCATGCTCTTAAGCTTTTCTGGCTGTAGTTTTTCTTAGGCTTTTTTTTTTGGTGAGGAAGATTGGCCATTGAACTAACATCCACTTCCAGTCTTCCTCTTTTGTTTGAAGAAGATTGTCCCTGAGCTAACATATGTGCCACTCTTCTTCTATTTAGTATGTGGGATGCCGCCACAGCATGGCTTGATGAGCAGTGTGTAGGTCTGCAGGTGGGATCCGAACCTGTGAACCCTGTGCTTCCGAAGCAGAGTGCATGAACTTCACCACTACGCCACCGGGCCAGCCTCTTTCTTAGGCATTTTATTTTCTGTAGTCTATGAAATGTAAACATGCCCTTTGTAAAGTGCCTACTTTCAGTCTCACTTGTGTGTTTCAATGTTCAAAGCACTTTTAGACATTGTTTATTTGATTCTGACAATAGCTCTACGAAATAGCTAAAGGTAAAGCAGGTCTTGTTATTTTAATTTTACAGCGTCTTAGAGAGGTTAAGTGACTTGCCCAAGGTCACACAGGCAGCAAGCACGAGAGTGGGGTGAAGAAACCAGTTTTTTCTAGTTCACAGTTTGGTACTCTTTCTTGAAGCTAAATGGCACTCTGTTGGTTTACATGATTAAAAACTTGGTTCTTTTATCATGCTAGCAGTCTCTAATGTAACAACTTACCTTGAATGCTGTAGAATCTAATGAATTTATTTCATGTACAGTGTACTAAACATAGCTCCTGGGTTTAGGGACAGATTGTTGGTGGTATTCAGCTGGAAAAATCAACATATATACTTGGGTACTGAGTTTTGGAATTTCTCACCTAGTTGAGCATTTGTACCAATTCCGGCATTCATCTTTCAGTTCCAGGAGAGTGTGCGTGGTCTGTAGTGCTTAGTCTTCACCTTATTACGTGGCACAACTGTTTGCTACTTGGCAGTCTGTACAGAAGTGAGGTCCCATGCAAGACAGTTACATGAACACTGAAGGCTACTTAGTTCTGCATAAAACGCTGGTACAACATCTCACCTTTCTGTTTTGCTTCAACGAGTACTACCAGTTGTCTGTCTAGATCTTAATTCACCCTTATTTACTGTTAAAGGAATTGACTACATTTGCCTGAAATTTTATATTTGTGTTGTAACTGAGGTCGTAACATTTTCATAAATGAGCTCAAGCTTCAAACGCAGAATCCTTGTACACACTCATTGATAGGCTGTATTTACTTTTTTGTATGATAAATATCTAAAAATTTAAAATTAATTTTTAGGTTAGCCATTCCTACTTCTTGGATAACATAATATTTAAATTTCTCTTTGCCTTTCTCTAAATTCTGATTTGACTAGTTAAGAAATAACAAGATTTGACTTTGCTTTATTTAAAGATCCCATCAGGTTTTTGCTTTCCCGCAAGAGCATGTGTTTGCTTTGTCCTGCTGTACGACAACAGAACACCACTAGTGTTGATTAGTTTCCTTTATATGCCTTTTTCTGTTTGCTTACAAACTGATCTGACCACTTAGCTTATCTTTACACCATTCTCTTGACGGCTTCAACTCAAAATATTTATCATCTAGGTAAAACATTTATAATTAGTTACATCAGCGAGTTTGTCATCTTCTTCCTTGAAGTTCAGTCTTACCTAAACTTGATCAGCCTTAAATTTGAGTAATGAGTTTTTAGCTTTTTAAAAAGAAATCTTCCTTATCAAGAATTATACTGTCTCATTTCAGGATTTATTTCTTTAGGGTTCTGGTTATCTTTTCTAGGATGGAAACTGAACCCTATTTTGACATTGTTTCAAAACTTCAGAGTTATTTTAAAACTATAATAGGAATTTCTCTCGGTGGTTTTTGCATTCTATTTTTAAAAATTAGAGAAATTAGAGGAGTTTTTCCCTTTTTTGTCACTTTAGAGATACTTTTGCAAACTAAATTTAGAACCTGTTTTTTTGTTTTGTTTTTTACTGTATGGAATGCCCCTTTCCTTCTTTGGTTATTTTGTGATGACGTATGTTTTGATTTTTATGGCAGTCTCTGTGTTGACTTTCTGGTGTGTGTGTGCGTGTGTGTATTTATCTCCCTTTTTGGAACTGGGATGTGGAGCTAGAAGAGAAGCAAATTATTTTCATTTAATCTTTTTCCCTTCATACTTTAACCGACTTAATATATGGAAAAATAGATTATTTAGACTTTAAGTAATTGTGTTTTCCCAAAATATTTTTACTTCCATTTCAGTTTATCATTTATATTCTATCCTTACTTTTCCTTTCTGTCTCCTCAACTCCATCTTTACAGTAGATTGAGAGAATCGAGACTATTTCTTTGCTCAGACTGACACCCCTAGTGGAAGCTATAACCAGTAACACCACTGACTCACAATGATTAGGGTTTGAGGTTCATGAAGCATCTTTCATATGCTCACTGAAGTAAAATTGATCCCTTGTGCTATATCTTGATGCTCTTTTCTCTTATTAATTTGTATTCTGCTTTATTAGCCTTTCATAGCAGTGGTAAAGCTTTGTTAGTAAGTAGTTCACATATAACTTTCTAGACCTGTATCCTTGTTTGTCTAAGGTGGGAGAAAAGGAGATACAATTTCTTAATACTTCCTAAGCTGGAAAGAGGTGAGAAGGAGTTAGCAGAATCAGTGTTTCTATTTTTGGTAATATCAGCTTAATATATATATACTTTTTTACACAGAATTATTGCTAAGTGTAGTTTATTCCATAACTTCTTGGGTTGCTTTATAAACAGTAGTGTATATTAAAATACTATTCTTTATTTTCACTGCAATTGTGAAAGAATGAAATTTGTTTGGTGCCAAACTGTCATTCTCTTAATTCATATCAATCTCTTTGTTTTATAATCCTTTGAACACATTAACAGGGAAAAAGGAACTGATTGGTAATACCAAATATTATGGTTCTTTGTCATATAGTTTTAAAGAACTGAAAGTAATTGGCTTTAAAATGTTTGGCTGGCAACTGAAAAAATATTCTAGAAAAAGAAAGTAATAAAGTAGGGAGTAGAACTACCAGATAGTAAAACGTACTATAAAGCAACAATATTGAAGCAGTATGGTAGAAGCCCAAGATTAGATCATTGAAGAATAAGAAGAAATGCTGTTACTTATTCAAATTTGATGTATGTTAAAGGAGTCACTGTTAAATAGTAGGAAAGGAAATGATTATTTAATAAATGGATTTGGAATAACCAATTAGCAATATTGAGAGAAAATACATTTAGACCCACATCTACACCAGATATAACAAAATAAATTTCAGATAAATTTAAGTGTGGATAATTATATCATTGAAAAATCTAGAAGATAAAAGGACTGAATATTCTGTATCTCTGGAGTTTCTAAGTAGTTAGAAAACTGGAAAAGGAAGATAGCAAAGATTAGACTGTATATGCTAATTTGTTTTATAGTAACCGTAGCTCTGTGAGCATGCCTATTGTATGTTCAAAATCTGAAAATTAGTCTCCTTTTTTCTTTATACCAGCTGGAAACCATTTGCTTTCTCTATTAGTTAATGGAAGAGAGAATGCAATTCTTTATCTAAAGTTTTATTCTGTAGATGCGTTGAAAATTATACAGGAGCTCGTTGTGAAGAGATTTTTCTCCCAAGCTTCAGCATCCGAACTAAAAGTGACCTGTTTGCAGCTTTCGTGGCATTGGCTATTCTTCTAGGAACTTTTATCATTGGAGCCATCTACTTCCTTTGCAGGTAACCAAAATAGAAGCATGCTTTTAAAAAGAAAAAAATAACGTATAAAGTAGTTATTCTACTAAACGATTGATATGCCCTTTAGTTCTAGATATTTTTCCAGATAACGTTTTCTGTTTAGAGTTATATCTCTAATATAGTTATTGTTATTAAATTAACAAGTCATTTTTTGAAAGGATCTTAAGCAGTCTCTATTTGTTCTTTGTTACTGTCATCATCATTATTTACCTTGACTTCTCCAAACTAGTAAAGTAGACCCACATTCACTAAAGTAATCATTCCCAAAATACCTAAATATTTTGGCTACGTCCACTTAAAATACATTTTGAGGGGCTGGCCCAGTGGTGCAGAGGTTAAGTTCACACATTCCACTTCGGCTGCCTGGGGTTTGCCAGTTCGGATCCTAGGTGTGGACCTACGCACCACTTGTCAAGCTGTGAGGTGTCAGGCGTCCCACATATAAAGTAGAGGAAGATGGGCATGGATGTTAGCTCAAGACCAGTCTTCCTCAGCAAGAAAAAAAAAAGACGATTGGAAGCAGATGTTAGTTCAGGGCTAATCTTCCTCAAAAAAAGTAATAAATTTTGCTTGTGAAAGAAAAGAACAACTTACGCAACACCGTAAATATAAATTTAAGACATATGGCTAATATCTGGGGTCAATTCATTGTGTAGTCCCTACTATGTGCCAGGCATTGTGCTAAGCATAAAGAATACAATGGTGAACAAGATAGACATGTTCCCTAACTTCATAGAGATTTAAATCAACTTGAAGAGATAGACAAATAAGCAAGCAATTAATTTGGGGAGACTAGTAACTCATAAGAAAGACAGAAACATTATTCATATGAAGCAATGCTATGCAGTGAAGATTACTTTCATTCATTAGGTTTGGTCTTCAACTTTTTCTGAAATTTTGTGAAAATAAGTGAATATAGAATTTATTAAGTTTAGAAGTTATCTGGTATCATAACTGTCACTCTTAATATTTATTAAATGTACACTGTATGCTATCATAGATACTTGTAAAAATGGAAAATGGAGCTGAAGGTAATCATGAAAGAGACGCAAGTGGGCTTGAGAAGTTTATGTTCTAAGAAAGGTAACACATATGTAAAATTGTATTTTATAAAATCCTCACTTCTGAATTACTTTACACCATGGAGTAATTAAAAATTGGAGAGAGTGCTCTTTAAAATGTGTGGTATTATATATTTTATCCCAAAATATATCATTTAAGCAGTCTAATAGGTTTTATCTCATAATTTTAGCATCTGACTACTTCAGATACAAAAATTTAAGTACAAGTCCATTGTATCAGATTGTATTTCCCAAAGATAGCCACAATATCTCTCATTCCCATATGCTCTTCTGCAATGTGACCTTGCCACTCTTACATCAAGAGGTAGAGTTTATTTCTCTAAATCCATGAATCTGGGCAGGCATTATGACTGCTTTGACCATAGAATATGTGGAAAAAATGCTGTCCCAGTAGGTTTTAAATGACCTGGCAGCTTCCACCTCTTGCCACTCATACTTTGGATGCTCTCTCGCAGAATCAGCACCATGTTGTGAGAAGCCTAAACAGCGCAAAGAACCAGTGTCAGCTGAGCTCCCAGCCAACAGCCAGTGTCAACTAACAGCCATTTGAATGAGCCATCCCAGACATCCAGCTCAGTGGAACCTTTAGTTGACTCCAGACTTAGCTGCCAGTTAACTGCAATCACAGAGACCCTAAGCAAAAAATGCCCAGCTGTCAACCCACAGAGCCATAAGAGACAAATTGTTTTAATCCACTAAGTTTGAGTTGATTTGTTATCCAGTAGTGGATAACTAGAATACCCATGTTTGGAATTAGGTTTACTCTTGACTTTAAATGATGTTTGGAAAAAAGCTGTATAATTTATTCTATCCTTTTAAACATTTTGTTGGTCTCTTACACTAACGAGCAGACCACCTCACTAATTCCCTCATTAATCACTCTAGTGCCTCGTTGGAAATATAGCCTTTTCATCTGTTATTGATTAGATAATAAATTTAAAAAAAAATTTTTTTTGGTGAGGAAGATTGGCCCTGAGCTAACATCTGTTGCCAATCTTCCTCTTTTTGTGCGAGGAAGATTGTCACTGAGCTAACATCTATGCCAATCTTCCCCTATTTTGTATGTGGAACGCCACCACAATGTGGCTTGATGAGCAGTATATATGTGTGCGCCTGGGATCCGAACCCGTGAACCCTAGGCGACCAAAGCATAGTGTACAAACTTAACCACTACGCCACCAGGCCAGCCTCTACAATAAATATTTTTTGTAATGTCAGTCAGGGTAGGCTAGGTTTGGTTACATTAACTATCAACCCTAACAGTTTAGTGGCTTAAAAAAATAAAAGACTATTTCCCATTCATTCTGTATTACTGTTATGATTTGGCAGACAGGGTTTTGCTAATCATAGTCACTTAAAGTCTCAAGCTGATAGAGCATCCACCATCCTGAATGCTGTTGGTTGCTATGCCAGAGGGAAAAGAAAGCTCTGGAGGGTTTCATACTTGAATTGAAATGATCTGTCTGGCCTCAATTCACTGGCCAGAATGAGTTGCATCGTCTACTCAGTTACAGGGGCTGTCAGGAAATGCAATTCTACCATATGCCTGTAAGGCAGAGAGCTAGAAATACAAGTCTAATATAATGACCAAAGGATTTATTAGGAAATTTAATAATCATTCCAATGGGAATTGTTATGAGTTTTTTTTTTTTTTTAATCCATAGAACTTTAATATTGTGGTAGTTGTCCAAAAATAAAACTCCTTTGCCAACCCAATGAGTTTGTTAGGGGTGTGGTATATGGTACCCCACAGGTGCTCAGTGCTACTGATCAACAGAGTTTCAGAGGAGACCTTCTAAGACACAGTAGCTCTGCAGGCTTGAGCCAGAATTTAGGAATATTTCTAGTCTTAAGTACCCTATAGCAGGCTACACAATACTTTTTTGGGAGAAAAGTATAGGTAAAAGAGAAGGAAAAGAGTATATAAAAACAAGAGGTAGAGTTCAGTGAAAGAACAAAAGGAACCACCAATAACAAATATATAGGTTTGCATCCGGAATTCACAGTCTGAATGTCTGAGGGGGGGGAGAAAAAGCTAAGAATGTAAAATAATCCAGGCTGGTAGTGCCCCAGGTGGCTGATAGAAGCAAATGCAAATTAATTCTTGAAGAACCCACTTTCTTTACTTTAAAAAGCATCTCATAGTATATAAAGATTACCAAACATGCAAGAAAAAAAGGCACCATGAATAAGAACCCACAGAAGCAACTAATAGTAGAATCAGATATTCAAAATATTTATTTATTGAAAGAATCAGAAACATAACATAAAATATGTATGTTTAATATATATCAAAAAATAAATGAGAGGCTTGTAAATAAGCAGATTTGACAAAGACCAAAATGGAACTCCAATAAATAAAATATTATAATGTTTTAAAAAGCAGTATATGTTTTAGTTCAATAAAATTTTTTAACATAGTATGTTTTACGCAGCAGATTAGACACCATAATAGAATTAATGAATTGGAAGGTAACAAGAAGAAATTACCCACGAGGTAATCCTGAGAGAAAAAGAAATGGAAAATATCAAAGAGAGGTCAAGAGAAGTCAAGAAAAATGGAGACTAGAGAGAGAGTGTCTAACATATGTTAGTTAGAGTTCCAGAGGAAGAAAGAGAAGGGGGCAGAGTTAGTATTTGAAAAGGTAAATGGCCGAGACTGTTTCAGAACTGATGAAAATCATCCAGATTCTAGAAGTCCAACAAATTTCAAGCATAATAAATAAAAAATAAATTTACATATGGGCACAATCCAGTAAAAGTGTAGAACATCAGTCTCAGAGGAAATTGCAAAAATGTTAGAAAAGAATGATAGATTATCTTCAAATATGCAACAATTAAAGTGACAGCTGACTTCTCTGTAGGAAAGAAGCCAAAACAGAAGAGGGAGTAATGATATTTTCATATTCATTGGAAATAACTGTCAACCCCAAATTTCCATCATCAGTGAAAACATCTTTCCAGAATCAGGGTAAAATGAAGATACTTTTAGATAAGCAAAACTTGAGAGTTTGCTCTCAGATGTATATCAAGCAGGAGGAAATTGATCGTATATGGCATATATGAAATGCAAGACAGAAGAAAGAACAGAGAAAGCCATTATGTAACTAAATCAAAATAAATATTGTATAAACTTTAACAATAATGTTGTCTAATGTCTTTGAAAAGAGAAATTAAAATATATGACAGTAATAACAAATAAGTTGAAAAGATTGTAATTAACGTGTGCTAAGGTCTTTGAATGGGAGGAAGATAAATATATAGGTTGATGTGAGACTCTGATATGTTAAGAATGAATATTAGGGGCTGGCCCCGTGGCGAAGTAAAGTTCACACGCTCTGCTTTGACAGCCCAGGGTTTCGCCGATTCAGATCCTGGGCACGGACATGGCACCACTCATCAGGCCACGCTGAAGCAGTGTCCCACGTACCACAACTAGAAGGACCCACAACTAAAATATGCAACTATGTACTGGGGGGCTTTGGGGAGGAAAAGGAAAAATAAAATCTTCAAAGAAAAAAAAAAAAGAATGACTATTTAAATGTCTAGGGTAACAATTGAAAAGAAATTAAAGCATATAATTTCCAAATTAGAGGAAGAACAAAAATGCAATAAAAAATAATCAATTGATTAAAAATAAAGAAGAAAAGAATAAATAGAAAGCATGACATAACATGGTAGATTTAAATCTAAATATGTCAATAATTCTGTTAAGCATAATTGTACTAAAGATGCCAGGTAAAAGACAAAGACAGTCATATATTTTTTAAAATCTAAATTCTAAAACAATACAAAAAGTTTAGAAGTGAAACAGTTGTATAAATATTAGACAAAATAACAATCTTTTACCATAAAATTTATCAGGAAGATTTAACAATTTTAAATGTGTATGCACTTATT